ATTTATTGTAGAGATGATGTCTCACCAAGTTGCCCAGGCGGGTCTAGAACCTGCGGGCTCAGACAATCCACTCACCTCAGCCTCCCAAAGGTGCGGGATTACAGGCTGAGCCACCGAGCCTGGCTATCTTGCCTTTCATATGTGAATTTCCAACTAGACGAAAAGGGAAAGTTCTTTTCTATAGAAAGGAAAAATGTAACAATAAAATTATAAGTAACAATAGAATTATAGAATTGTAAAATCACCATTTTGTAAATCCTAGTGAAATAATGGATCTAGACAGTCATCTAGTAAGTGATAACACTATTGGGTGAGAGTTGAAACTTCAAAGTGATTAGAGTAGACTGGCAACACCTGAACTCACTGTTCAGTCTGAATATCAGCAGTCAGGATTACGTACCTTCTGATATGATGCAATAGGAAGTACACAGAACCATCTCTGCAGTGTTCTTGCCAAACACACACACACACACACACACACACCATGAATCTAATCAAGCCTCTAAATCGAATTGCTAGTTACAAAAAACGTGTGGGTAGAGAAGCAAGTTAAATGACACTGGAGAGAAACAATCATCCAAATCCATAACATTCAAAATTCTTTACAAATGATCTAGTTTTTCCAAGAAATAAGAGTTTGGGGAAAATGGGAGGATCAAGGAGAGGGAGTTGTCAGTGATTAGAAGAAACCATATAGAAGATGGACCTTGTTCAAATCCTGATTTAAACAAATCAATTATAAAAAGGTATTTTGAGACAGGGAAATTTGAACATGGATTGGGCTATTAGAAAATTCTGAGTGATTGTTAATTTAATCAGCAAGATAATGACTTCATGCCTATGTTAAAATGAAAGAAGTCTCCCTATCTGTTAGAAGTATTCAGAAATAAAGTGATTCCTTGACTTTGCTTATAACATTCTATATCCCCCCAAAGTGGTGAAAAACAGAATCACTGCAACTATATTGGAATGAAGTTCAGTGCTGGATACACAGGGTTCATTATACTTATTCTCCTGCATTGGTGATTGTTTGAAATTTTCTATAATTAAACAACATGGGATATTAACAAAAGAGATCATAGAAGCCACTTAACTAAAATCTTTAATATTAAGATGTACATTTTAAAACATCTTCAAAGCTATAATGCAAATAAAGTAAGATATATCAGTTTCTCTACACCCATTTTATCTCTAATGCATTATCACAGACCAGTGCATTTTGGGATACCATACAATTCTCTAAAGGCTGTTTTATATTTATTTATTTATGGCTTAATATTTCTGAAGGTTAATTATTCTATCAGACATGAAGATGGATGCCACCACTTACGGCTATCTTGGGATGTATACAGTAGAGCATGATATTATACTTTCAAGATTCCTATTATATAATGTCTCCAAAAATATTTTTTTTAAATGTTAGAGTTAAAAAATATGGTATCTTTAACTAAAGAAGTGTCTGCCTATAGATGAGACTGTATGAGGAACTTAGGAGGGAAAGGATGTGATAATCATGACCTCCCACTGTTAGCAAGGGTGAAAAACACCTTGATTTTCAGCCTACTCATCTGAGGAATATGAGTACATATTCATCTAAAATATGTATTCATAAGACTTCCCTTGGGTAGTATCATGTTTAAGAGACAAAATATGTATACTTTGGAGGAGCAAAGAAAAACATAATTTAGTGTAACAAGAATGACCTGTTGAGTGTGAGCCACTGAGCAAATGTGAGTGAGACAATCTCAGCCTTTAAGTGACCTGCAATCTACTGATAGATTCATGACATCACACTCTGTTATTACTGTTGATTTTGGAGGCAGAGGCAAAGTAACTTGGGAATGCAAATCAAAAAGCAGTTGACTCAGCCTGAGAAAGGAAAGGGCTGGGTAAAGCTCTATAGAAAAAGTGGCATTTAGAAGGAATGTTAAGGATGACTAGAAGATGCCAGACCTGAGGCAGGGAACGCGGGCTGAATGCAGAGAAGGGTATTCAGTGCTGAAGGAGGAAGAAGCAGACTGCTGTCCCAGTGCACAGGACACCTGGGTGGGTACTTGGAGGAGGCCAGTGGGAGGAGCAGCCAGGTAGGCCCATGGGAGGTCCTGTGCTCAAGGTGGGGTTCGTGGACTTAGTTCTGTGGATGCAGAGGAGCAACCTGATCACATATGTATTTTGGAAAAATAACTCTTCTTTCACTAGAATGGGATGGATTGCTTGAAATAAGGAGAAACTGGCAGCAAAGATGCCAGGTGTGTTGCCTTTTCGACAGTCTAAGAAGTGCACGCCAGTAAAGCACAGGCAGCACACAGAATGTGAGTAGTAAGGTGGCACAAGGAACATTTCCCATTCTCACCATCTTTTCCCCTTTTTAAAATTGTCACAGGTAGCCAAGGTCCTATGGTGGTACTACTTCTCCAAATCAGTAGAGTTCCTGGACACAATTTTCTTTGTTTTGCGGAAAAAAACAAGTCAGATTACTTTTCTTCATGTGTATCACCATGCTTCTATGTTTAACATCTGGTGGTGTGTTTTGAACTGGATACCTTGTGGACAAAGTAAGTTATTTTGTTAACTTTTTGGTTCTCTGGAATGGGTCTTATAAGACCGTTGGGTATCAATCACATGCATATCAGGGGAGCAGGACAGGAGCCCATAAAGCCCTGGCTGGTCACAACAAGAAACATATCTACTGTGGCCATTGAGTTTCTGGTCTTTGATGTGGACAAAATCTGAGCACAACCTTAAATTTAAAAAACATTTTCTTTTCCATGCACCAAATGTCAGATGGGCAGAAGCAGTTTCACTCCAATCCCAAGTGCTGTTTGACTCCTGTGGAAATACAGCACCTCCCACAGTCACCACTTGCCTGTGATACAGATTGGGGCATTTCATTTTTAGAGTTTCTTGTTTTTACATACTGAAAAATTAAGGTTACATCTCTGTATGAACCACCAGAGCAATGACTTTTAATTTTTTAAAGCTTGAGTCCTACCATAAGAAATACATTTTATATCACAACACAGTACATACATTTATATTCATGCTTTATATGAAATAAACATTTTATAAAATAGTATTTACCCTACCTCTGTACAAAGAATGCACTGTGGTATTTTTTGTAATCCTATTTCACTTTTACAAAAAGTTGATGAAAACTCTCATTACATTGACTTCACCATTTACTAATGGATCAGTTATGACCTACGTTTTGAGATGCACTGAACCAGATAGAATAGTTATTTGTTTGATATTGTCTTGTACCCAAGAATTTAAAAATAATTTGTGAAAAATCAGAATGTATAAAACCTAAGCCAAAATGATTTTGTCCTATGATTTAAGGTCTTGTAGAGATGACATTAGAAAAAAACACCCAGGAAATTTGGTATATCAGTGACTGTGAAGGTACAAACAAAAACAGAGTATGACGTAGGAGAGGCTGGGGGCGCATTGAGCAGAATGAAATGTGTTTACCCCTCTTCTACACAGGAAGAATCCAGTTTGAGTTTAGTTATTAAGGAAGGAAGACTATCATAAATATCAAAGTAGAATTACCAAGGCTAAGGTACTTTTTATGATGCTCAACAATTTCATTACAAATCACTAAGCATCCAAAAGTCACTCAGATCATCACTGTGTAAAGATAGTGTGATGAACATACTTTGCATGTGACAATTTCTAATGAAGTATATTATAAAAATTATAAGCAACTACTCACTGTTCATTAATTGATGGAAATGAAAAACCAAGTGGATAAAGAAATATCACTAATACTGTGCTACTTGGTGCTCTGAAACTCTATTTGTGTTTTTATATCAACTCATAACAACTTTTTCAGCCAGTATCTGTTGAAGACTTACTATATGCATGGTATTGTACCTTTTGTTTCTTACTCATTGTTTTGAGTTGATCCAAACCACTAATTCAGGATTAGAAAACTAGGCTAGAGAATTTAATTTAATTAACCAGCATATGTGCAGTGCTTTTTAGTTCATTTATTATATTATCTCAGTTTCATCACAACCTTAAGAGGTAGTTATTATCATATGTTTTCCAGGTGAGAAAATAAACATTTACATAATGTATCCAAGGGAACATGGCTACTCAATGGTCTTCCGACGCCACAGTTTATCCCACTATCAGATTGATAGCTCACAGACAAGCCATCCAGATCCCAAGCTAACACTTGTATGCCTTTCACTTTGTGCTAAACACTGCCCTAAGCACTTTTATACATTGATTGATTGAATACTCACAACAGTGAATTCATTATTTCTAACACATAATCTGTCTATGACATCTCACCTCTTGGAGGTAAATCCTTTCAACCCTTAGCTGACCTACCATGGAACAGCCCTTTCTCCTTAGTGTCCTGAAATACTATTCACCTACACTGGTGGCACTTATAAAGAAGACTTTTCATAAGGTTGATGGCAGGGCAATGGATTTCAGATATCCCATGTCCTAGAAGTCCCTGAGACAGTGAGTAACTGGGAAGGTCTTCCTAGCCAGTTTTTCCTCACCCCAACTTTGTCTCTTCCCATATTCTCTTTCTCCAGCATCTCCTGGTTCCCCAGTCGCTTTCAGATAGAATTTCTCTAATTATAAGAGCAATATATTTTCTTTCTCTCTCTAGCACCCTGTTAGCAATGTACAAAAGGTTCTTTCTACAATCAGTATGCCCTATTGAAGGTTTTGCTAAAACAAAGACAATTCTCCTTCACAGAATTTCTGCCATCAGCTTTAAGCTAAAATTTCCTTTTCTCCCTGATTTGCTGATAGTAGTGACAGGTTAAAGAGACAATAAAACCTTTGTAGATCAGGCAGTCCCTGTTAGGCTGGTCAGCTCTCTGACTTCCTATCAGGAGTTTTTGCTGAATCCTAGAAGTGGTGCAATAATTGGGGAATTTATCATTGTGGATGTTATGTGATTATGCTATATTTGTTACTCATTTTCAATTACAATGCAGAGGAAGAATCTCACTTGAAAAGAGTGAACACTCCTACTTTCCAGAAGAGCAGTGATTTTTATGCTGTACTTCTATAGGTTTCTTTGGACCAACACTGAACAGTTTTATCCACATTCTTATGTACTCCTACTATGGGCTTTCTGTGTTTCCATCTATGCACAAGTATCTTTGGTGGAAGAAATATCTCACGCAGGCACAACTGGTATGTTATCCCTTCTTTCAACCTTTCTGCATGTGGTTCACAGATGGGGGAAGGAAATGGAAATATCATTCATCTTAAAAGCCAGAGGTTTTTCTATGTGTGATAAGGCTGCCGACTTATCTCTAAAAATGGCCTTTTAAGATTAAACCTCGTGTGTTAAAATGTCCTTTGGGTATGCAATTATCTTCTCACAAGATGTCCTTCACATTGGAATGTAGATGACTACTTCTTAAATGAATGTATAAGTTAACTCTTTTTTGGTCTAGTTTTAACTGCTATTTTTCCATGAGAAATTGAGGAGTAATTTTACATACTAATTTCAAATAAAATTTCTGGATATGATAGTGAGGCTACTTCAGCATTTTGTTGTATTCTTACAAAGTTCTGAGAGTTGATTTCGAGGCTGGTAAAGCTTCCCTGTGGCGTCTGTGTGGCCAGCCTGGCTCACTCACAGCTGCGCTCTCTGCCACCCTCCAGGTGCAGTTTGTGCTCACCATCACGCACACCATGAGTGCCGTAGTGAAACCGTGTGGCTTCCCCTTCGGCTGTCTCATCTTCCAGTCTTCTTATATGGTGACATTAGTTATCCTATTCTTAAATTTTTATATTCAGGTATGTAGAATGTAAATATTGGTAAAATGTAATTGACTGTGCACTTCTGCATTATATGTTTGTTTAATTTTACTGATTAAATATCATAGTAGCACATGCTTATTGTTAATTCAAACAACAGAGATACACAAAGTAAAAAGTGAAACTTATGCTCCTAACTCCTCTCCCTACATCCTCCTCCCTCAAAGGATAACCACAGTTAATAGTGTGGTAAGCATTCTTTTAAACACTTTTCAATGCATGCATATAAAATTTTATCAGAACTATGACTGGTTTATATATACAGTTCTCAATTTGCATCAAGTATTTGCATCATGCTATGAAAGTCTGATATCTGATAGGTAATCATATAGTGAGACAGATTCAGAAAATGTATGTGAATGGAAAAACACATGAGCTTATTGAACTTAATATTAAAAAATTATTACCAATAATTTGTTTACCCTGATGTAGACTTACTGTTTATTTGAAAAATATATATATACTGTTTCAAGGCAAACCAGTGTGGAAGGTCGCATTGACTTTTTCTTTATAATTGACAATTTTTGGTCAGCAACTTAAATAGGAGACAGCTGCAAAATGCAGTTTCCAAGTGACTGCTATACAAGAATCAATGAAAGCTAGAACAGAGCACAGGCCCCAGGTGTTTGTAGATTTTAAATTGCTCTACTTTGTGAGTGGGGAAATGGAAAGCTTCATAAAAAATGAGAATATACATTTATATTCAAAACACTACTTTTGAAATTGTATTCAACTGTACTTTTTTTTTCAGACAAACAAGAAGTGCATTCTTACTTTTTAGTTTGCATTTGCTGAAAGTTAACCCATTCTGGTTTTCTACAGTGTAAAACTGTGGGAAATGAACTTTTGATATCTTTTCAGATCTTGTATTTCTGAAATGGGACTGACTAGGTTTTGTCTTATATAAGAGATAAAAGTTCCCTTTGAGAATTTTTAAAGAAATAATCAATGATGAGACCAAGCAAAGGCATTTGTGGACACACATACACACCCCCAATAAAGCTCCATGTTAAAGCATAGCTGGGGGAGCCATTTTGGTTCTCTGTGTTAAAAATTAAAGAAAAGCATATAGCCTGGTAAACATAGGTAATGGCATTCTAAAGCTTGAACCCTACATGCTGGTTCAAATTGAATCTTTGTTCTAAAGTTGAGTATATAATTTCAGTCTTGCCGGGCTCAGTGGCTCAGCCTGTAATCCCGCGCCTCGGGAGGCTGAGGTGAGTGGATTGCCTGAACCCGCGGGTTCAAGACCCGCCTGGGCAACTTGGTAAGACCTCATCTCTACAATAAATCAAAAAA